CTCTCTCTCTCCTCTCTCTCTCTCTCTCTATCTCTCTCTCTCTCTCTCTCTTCTCTCCTCTCTTCTCTCTCTCTCTCTCTCTTCTCTCTCTCTCTCTCTCTCTCCCTCTCTCATGTGTAACTCCAGTCATGCATGGGCATGCTCGGAGCTTACAGCGATACCGCATTCACCTGGCGGGAAGTTTTTAAAAAGCTAGGTTTCCATATCAGCCACCAGGCTGCTGCTCACCACGAAACGCGCAAAAAAAAACTGTGGGTCATACGCCTCTGCCATGGCTCGGAGGCTGGAGCCAGCTCAGAGATCCCCGACAAGCCTAGGGTTTTCGAGATATTCAAAAACGTAGATTCCATAAGAGCAGATCTTAAAGGTTCCAGGTACTTTTAAGAGGAGACTTAGAGGAAACCAGCTTCATTTAGCAAAAGGCAGGAGTAGAATATTCAAAGAGCAATCATTGCAATGAACTGCCAAACAAAGTTGTATGAAGTTTGTCTTAAGCAAACATTTAGAAATCGTTTTGACAGGTTTTTTTCGGTCCAAGGATCTCATTTCTAGCTATATTACAGGCAGGTCAAGTGGTAAGATTAGTTTGAGGAGGGCGCGGAGCCTCAGGTAGGCCGGGACCTCGATGGGCACTTCAGGCTCTTTGTTGCCCTGTGGTGTCTTCATGTCTTTACGTCCTACCGGGTAGGGACTAGTGTTCCAGAAATTGTGGGATCTGAGAGGAACGAACCTCCGATATACTAAACAAGGTGCTTGTAGCGCATTTGAGGCCCTGCTAACGTCCTGCTAATGCGTAGCAACGCACCAGTCCGGAGGGGATATTTAGATGGTAAGATTCAAGGTGGACAGTCGCTGACTTTGTGTTAGTAAGTAGATCGTGGGTTAGAAACATCTGAATGCCTCAAATGATGCTTCCGTGTCATTCATTTCACTGCTACGGAGTGCTTCATCAGTTTCGGCGCGTGCCTATACTATCGTCATTAATTTATCGCAATTGTGATTGGTCGCGGGGACGGGCGAGTTTTCTCCCAACCGGTTTGCGTCTAGGTTGTTAGCGATTCATCCACCTTGCTGTTCGAAAAATCGGACTTATAGGTGAAGTTTGTTTCCCATGGTAACATACGTACCTGGTAGTCAGCACATGAAAACCCGATCTCCGTTAGGCATACTGCCAGCAAGAAATCGGATCGGTCTGAAATTATATCAATCATATTAAATGCATCTAGAATAATGCGAACATTAATCGTCCATAGAACACAGCAAGGTCTTTTTTAAGTATTTTAAAAGAGTCAGCTTTGTCGCTCAACGAAACAAGTCAGTGGGTAATCACATATGCATCCTAAAAGTTGCCGTTTTCTTTTAAATTCACGAATGCGGTGGTTATTATCAGGTCAGAAACTGAGCCTTAAGTAGCAGTCAGGGTGTCGTCCAGGCCTGCTCACCAATTCCCATCTCCAATGTTGTGTTCCTTCTGTATGGGAATTCAAGAGGGTTTGCAAGCCCCAGGTGTCTGGAGCTCAAACTAGCTAAGATTCGCCACACATGATCCGATTGTAATAGCGGGACTCTGACTCAAAATAAATGCTGGGTCTGGCTCAGTGATTACCAATAATCAACGGATCTTATGTGTAAGGCTCTAGGACGACCAAAGGTGGACAAAATGACCTGAGATCCGGATCATATCCCGTCTTCTGGCTATTATAGGAGTACCCTGAGCAGGACCAGATCCGGATTACTACAGGCCCGGTTTATGTCCCATCGCCTGTTTGGTATAGGAGCATCTTGAGCAGGACCAGATCCGGATTACTACAGGCCCGGTTTATGTCCCGTCGTCTGGTTAGTATAGGAGCATCCTGAATAGGGCCAGATCCGGACTATTAGAGACTCGGATCACGCCCCGTCTCCTGGCTATTGTAGGGACACTCTGAACAAGGCCGAATCCGAGCTACTTCAGGCTCGGATCACGCCCCGTCTCCTGGCTATTGCAGGGGCACTCTGAAGAGGACCAGGTCAGGGCTATTAGGGGGGACGCCAGAATGCTGAGTGACCTGACAAGATAAATTTATAAAACATCCGCAGGTCGGACGAAAAGCCCTAGGTGCCTGCAGCATTAATCAATAAGCCCTTCAATTATTTGTGAGGTAAATCGTCGATCGACCCAGTTTTTGTCTGCTCGACGAGGTCCCTGGGGATGCTTACAAGCATCTAAATGCTTACAAGGATCTCGCGTGTCCGCTCGTGGTCGCATGCCGCATGTACGACTGGACGAATTCTAGATAGGCCAGTGAAACGAGCAGGCACGCATGGCGAAGGGTGTTTTGGACCATGGATGTGTGCGATCACATCCAGCTCGATGGGGAAAAATATGCAAACCTCTGCCCGCTTTTTGTCGTGTTTGGTAAATTGTATGAAGCCGAACCACACCTAACCAAAATTATCAACGGCAGTGTGTGCAAGCATTCCATATCAACCACCGTAACACTGAGCGAACACATGATTTTGCAGTCAGGCAGCGTTCATTTATATACTCAGCCATACGTTCATTCCCGACACATTCTTGAACTAGGCTATCAAGCACAGCTCACAAGCAAATCTGTAAATTAGGTAACAGTGGACAGTGTCCATACTAAAGAACAATGCCAGCGATAATGCTCATACCACATTATCACATAAACTACGTACAAGTAATTCGAGAATACATAGAATATGCATGCATCCGAAGTCCAATAAATTACTACAGCGCTACTGCAAGCGGTTCAAAAAGCGGCCGCGGTCGGTCGGCGGCGGGCGGGGCTGACCCAGCGGCCCGGGGCGGGGCGTCACCCCAGGCCCGCCCACCGCCGCGCGACAGGCCATTTTGATTTGTACATCGTCGCCGCACCGTCACCTTGCACCCGCCCGCGACACAGACGTCCCTCGTCGGACTCCACCCTTGAGCGTGGCCGTCGCATCCAGCCCCGCCGGAGGAGCAGGCGGCGACCACGCGCGCCTGGCCTCACTTTGAGCACTGGGGATGGCACATGTGATGGGCGAGTCAGACGCACCTGCGAGGTCGCGCACGTCAGAACGGTGCGCACTGCGTCGTGGTAGGGGATCAGAGGACACCGCCGCCGCCCTCGGCGCAGCGCCGCGCAGTCGCGTCACTAACATCTACACCCGTATCGCAGCACCCCCTGACTGGCGCCGGCGAGGGCGCGCGCTAGACGCCTCATCTCCGCAACTCCGCTGCGACACGCGTGCCACGGCGTCGTCTGTGGTCCGAGGCAGAGCCCCCGAGGCCCGCCTCCGCCGGACACGCACTCCACCGGCAACAACGGTCTGTGTCCGAGCCGCGCGCGGCGGAGACCGAGCTCCCCCTCTGACGCTCGCTCCGGGCGCGCGGTGCCACCCTGTCCCGCCGCAGTGGCGCGTGCGCCGCAGCGGGGCCGCGTTGCTAGTGTTGCTCGCTCCAGAAGCGCTTGATGAGGTCGGCCGCCTTCTCGCCGATCATGATGGTCGGGGCGTTGGTGTTGCCGTTGACCACCTGCGGCATGATGGACGCGTCCACCACGCGCAGCCCGGAGATGCCGTATACCCTGCGGATCAGGAGGACGCCCGGTGAGCTCGGAGTGGTGGACCGTCTTTCTCATACCGGCACCGGCTGTGCTGCTGGCGGTACACAGTTACCGTCTGTCACCTTTCCGAGCGAGAGCGAGGGGAGCGAGATTTGTGTCGTTCAGTCCAGCCACCAATACAAGCTGGGATGTCCCAACCGTGTCGCCCACCCCATCGCAACCTGCGGCTAACCCCTGTCACCAACGAAACCGACTGGCACCTGGGCACTGACCTGAGCTCAGGGTCGACTACGGCCTCAGGGTCCCAGTAGGGCCCCATCTTGGCCGTGCCCACCGGGTGGTAGATGGTGCTTGTGTAGTAGCGCGCCAAGCACTCCCAGTACTCGTCAGTCCACAGCTGCGTGTGCTTGCAGCCCGGCATCGGCACCTTGTAGAACTTGGCCCCTAGCCGCTTGAACGCCTGCGTCTCACCGATCGCCACTGCGATCTTGATGCCTGGCGCGGGGGAGGCGGTCAGTGGCGACATCTGCGCTGCCGCCCGGCCGCGGGCGGGCGTCGCAGGCAGCGTCACCTATGTTAGGTGGCGCTGCGCGCACGGATTTGGGACACAAGTCGTTCGTCAGCATACGGACGACCGGTGCTGTTCACCTAATGCGATTGACGCGTCACTATATCGTTAAGCTTGATTGATGCCCAGCCACACCGGTTCATAAGGAAATACGGCAACTCAATCACAGAACGCAATGGTTATGGACTGCGCCTTACAGATTTACTGTACGTAATAAAAAAGCCTGTTACGTTAATTAACCTAACACATTGCATACATCTTTCAAGACTAGGATACCGTACGTATGCTTTCTTTAACAGCCATACTACACGACGGGTGGGATATCAACTAGAGGCTCAGAAAAGAGTTAACAAGCGCACAGACGAAACGATCTCTGGTGTTATAGTGGTCCAAAACTATTACATCTGATACATTCATGCAAGTAGCAGATGTGATGCACTGTGATGTATACATGCAAAAGTAACAAGGGAAAAAAGGCATCTGAATAGGCACGAGTAAATTGAGTCACACTGAGATCACCCAGTCATGCATCGCTGTTACATAGCATGTGTCTTTCACGAAACGTGGTCGCGGCGGTAAATGCATATGTTTTATGCATTTGAAAGTCCCAGTCATGCCTCCACAAAACTCCTTTTTGCTACAATGTATGCGCGGTACTAAAGAGTGCTACCAATTTGTACGCACGAACACGAGACGCACGCACCCCGCTTACCACTGTGGAATATGTGAATAGCTGTGACCGTTGCGATGGGAATTACCAAGCAGTTCACCGCATCAAAGATATTCGCCGCCCGCCGCCGTCGACAGGCGTGCCATGAACCAGCATAAACCGCGCCATGTTGGGTCACGGCGCGCCTTTCAAAGATTTCCCAAACCTAAACATGCCTGCGTTGCACACGTGCATCTACATACTACAAATTCACCGCCAGCCGTGTTCGCACACCCGCGTCTGGCCGCCCCCTTCTACCGCGGTTACAGCGAGCGAGGGTAACGCTGCAGCATCCAGTACCTTCCACCATAGTCCTAATGTCAATCTCCTCCGTGAGGTAGTTGGGTACGAGGAGCGGCGGGTCGTACGGGTTGGCGGAGCGCAGCTGCACCACGCCCTTGGAGGCGGGCCGCAGCAGCATGGGCACGATCGTCACCGTATCCCGGAATAGAATGGGCTTGAACATCTGCCACGTCTAGAAGCCGGGAGACAGAGCCTGGTTAGCGCAGGGCCGGGCGCAGCCGAAGGCCGGGTCACGGGACTGTCGGGCGCAGGCAGCTGCCCGAGTCACGCCGTCACGCCCGAGTCACGGCGTCACGCCTGAGTCACGCCGTCAGTCACGCCGTCAAGCTGGAGGGGGGGGGGGGGCGCTGAGAGAACGTCCAGGTCACTCGGGAGCCTGTCGTGGACGGCAATGGCCCCTAGGTCGAGCGCGAGCATGCTGGGCCATGCAGTCCGACATGCCGCTGCTGGTCTGTCAATCTCAAAACAAAGCGGCAAAGCGGCAAGGTCAAGGCAGGTCGTCAAAGCAGCATCTGTAAAGGAGGTCATGTGGAAACATGTTGAAGATCGTTGTCCTGATGGAAAGAATCGGTGAAGGTGTCTCTGATCCCGTGATGTCACCACTGGCTGTAGTTTGAACTCTACCAAATCATGACTTCTCGCTCCTCTGAGTTGTTACCGATAATAACAGGCGTTATTAACGCCTTACCAACATGCAGGTTACGGTGTCACAGAGTAACACATTTGGGGAAAAGTATTGGTGCTCTGGGCTGCTATAGTTTTTCGGTTCAAGGCGAGTTCAGCAGGACCATTAAAGTCAAAGCATGCATACCTAGGGGGTGCGCAAAGATCTTAATGTGGCAAATTTACGCCAATTACGCTCCGTGGGGGCCAGCAACGCGCTACAAAAATCGAGATTGACATCGGCTTAGACGCTTTAAACAAAGCCCTTGGCGTCGCATTCCTAGCAGGCCGATTCGATGTTCTTGCATCTAACATTTTTTTTTATTTTTTAAAGATTTGATCCGAATCCTTTGAATGGATGAATTTCTGGGATCAGAGCTCACGCCAAGTAGTGCTTGTTGCGTGAGCTCTGACCCCTACCACGTCAACGCGTAATTTCATGTCGACGGCAGAATTTGGTGGTGAAAGCTTAACGTGCCGCAATGCTCGGCACGGTTCGTCCTGCCCTCTGGCGTCAACTGACCTTCAGCGCGACCGCTGTCACCGGACGCGGGCATACCTGTTACGGGCAAATAGCGAGCGCTCTAAAGCGACTCGAACCCAGCGCGCCATGGGTGGGTGGATCGGAAGGCAGGCGCTCCAACCAGCTGAGCCACAGGGGCGGACTTTGAGAAGGACATTAAGGAATTTTGTTACTTGACTTAAGGTGAATAGGATTTTTGGGTAGGCATCAGTGTGTGAATGATTCTGCATCAGTCGCGTGGCAGTGATTGAGATCTTCGCAGGTGGTGTAGACGGTGAACAGGATCAGCTGCAGTGACGTCTGCAGAGGAAGAAGCCGACCAGCAGAAAATCAGCAATTTAATAAGCGTGCACTGGACACGCTCCAATGCGTAAGAACTTACGATGTGTGTTCAGGACAATTATTTGGTGGAGTAACTGTATAAGACGAAGGTCTGTTCGACACATAGTTTTATTGCCCATGGCTTGGGAAGTTCTGGTCTCTTGGTCGAGGTCGAAAAGTGGACAAAAAGCTCAAGGTGAAGTCAGATGGTGTTAGAGAAGGATCAAATAAACTTCATCTCATTTATATCCACATTGCAAACGCATCATCGAGCCACTCTCGACACAATGATTCGTTTTATACCCATTTCCAAGTAGTTCCAAATGTTTTCATTTTAAACCATCGCTGCCCCCACCCTTTTATTTGAATTTCTTTCCGCTCAGCGCATCAGTAGCTAAATGCTATGGTTAAAAATGTCGAATCAGCTTGGTAAGAGAACGCTAAGGGCTCCGTTTCAACTTTCAAGTCGATGTTTTTATAACGTCATGGTAGCTCGCTCAGAGTGAAAATGGTTTGAACCTACCTACTTTAACCTTTTGTGCACCCCCAAGCATATTTTAAAAAATGACACCACATGAACTCGCCTTGAACAGGAGAAGCTGACTGACCCTGAGCGCCCGTTCTTTTTCAAAGACGCGTTATTCTGAAACACCCTAATGTGCATGCATCTGCAACACGTTCATGTGCAGATAATATTGATCCAGAGACGAGACTGCGTGTAACAGAAGCTCTACGGCGCTAAATCTGCAGTTAACGCTGCTCTAAAAAGACACGATTCATAACAATTCTAGCTCCAATATGACTATCTAAGCCAACTCTACGCGCAAACGGTAGTTCTGCGGCAACGCAACTACACATATGCAGTATCTCTACGAAGAGGAGGCAGCACAGACGGAAAATCATGCGGTGGGCTGGGAGCACACCCTTTCCTCCCCACCCCACCCGCTACCCCCGGCTCTCGCGAGCGCCACCTTCCACCAGCGTGCGGACGTCTCGCGGGTCCTGCAGGGAATTGGTGACGATGTGCGGCTTGTCGAACGGCCGGGCGGAGCGGAGCCGCAGGCGACCGCGGCTGTACGGTCGCAGCAGGCACAGCAGGATCGAAAAGCCGTCGCGATACGACAGCGGCTTGAAGTAGCCGCGCCACACCTGCAAGAGGCCGGCCGGGCCGCGCCGCGCGCCGCGCGGGTCATGACCGGGCCTGGCAGCCGGCACAGAGTGCGCTCACTATGGCAGGCTTGGACCGGCAGAGCACTAAACATGCGACCCGCGCATGCACGCACGTTTCTAAGCGCACACTCGATCACGCATCTGCTGCGTTTGCGCCGGTGGGGGTCCTTTGTTATCTGGCGTACCCTCCTCTTGTCGTGACTCCCTGCACCCCTGGCCACATCGTCTGAGTATCTCCTTGTTAAAATCCTGGAGATGAGCCCACGTCAGCGCAGGCCGGTGGGGGAGGGGGGGGGGAGTCATCTCCTTTGGGCCGGTATTCTTATTTTAGCACTGCGGATAGCTCTTGGCAAAAAGTCAAAAATAAATGTGCACTTTACATTGAGCAATACCTACCGTAGGATCCAGCGTCATTGAGCAGATATGTTTAAGACATCTGCATATCTTACACATATCTTGATATATAGATATCTTGTAAGGCAACAACAAGTGCAGATGTAAATGCCGTGATCGAACCAGCGCAAACGATGAGGGCAGGGCCGATGTGAAAGTAAATTTGCCGGTGCACATATATGGAGCCAAATCGATGCAGTTACAAAAAACGCGATGTGCAAATAAGTAGTTCCGTTTTGGTGTTGCAAGAAACATCGTTCATTGAACTTAAAGTTACGCTTTACACTTAAATGTCCTGCGGATGGAAATATAAACAGGTAACCAAACTTATGCCAATTCCGTGCCAGACAATCAATCACCTTTTTGAGATACGAGAAAACATTGTACGTGATGCCTATCTTTGAGAACAGTTACACGGCGTATTCACGACAAGAATGCGCGCGCCTGTGAAATATTTACTTGAGTACTGGCGTGAGCAAACCAATATTTATGCAAAAATACCGGATATCCAAATGACAATTTTTTTCTTGGTGGGGTTTCCACAGGGAGCAGCAGTCTTGCATTCCGATGAATGTTTACCTCCGGATGTAACATAGCTGTACGTGCTGGTGGCGCAGTGCATCTAATGGCCCTCGGTTGTCGAATGACAACAGTGAGCTGTGAAACCCATATTGCCTACGCATGCATTGCTGTAGTCACATGACTCCTTTCAAATTTTAGTAATTTTCGCGCTAATTAAAGATGCTCAAACCATGCAGCACAATGGTTGCTTATGTCCGTGCAATGACGCAACAAATTTGACACACACACAGCGAGCTGGTGCTTTGTTTTATTACCAGAAAGTATATAGCGTCGAAGGTCTACGAATGCTCTTCATTTCGTCCCGTGGCATGTGTTGCCACTGCAGTGATCACGATTTAGACTTCGTGTACGAGTTACTGTATTCACTTTCAGCCATTCACTGTAAGGTCAGCTGTCTACAAAATGCAACTTTCGTCAGGTTTGGTTATACTCAAGTTAACGATGACTAGTCATTCGAGTCGTGTTGTGCCTGACTTCCATGGCATTTAGAAGCCAACTTTACTCATTTTGCAGATAGGCTCCAAAATAACTAACTTAGAATGGTTGACGATCCACCAGTCTCTGAACAAAATAACATCCGTCATGTACATACGCATCTTCCTACTATGTAGATGCGTATGCGCACGATGCGCAGAGGAAGATAGTTTGCCGATAAAGAAATAAGTTGGAAACCGAGTGACCGAAATCTGGGGACTTTCTGTGGGAAGAGCGAACATGAAGTTCCAGGGGACAAACAGAAAGCGTGGCCTCTCTTTTGACGACACTCTGGATCTGCCCCTGGTGACGTAACCTTGTTATGACGCCTAATGCATACAACAAAGGAGATATAGACAACAGGCAATACTGAAGGCAATCACAGAGAGGCGGCAACACATGAAAAACTGCGCTTTGGAGCGCTATCCTTAATAGTGTTCCCCCAGTCATCGAGCGAGCATTATTGACGAATCAATCGAAGCCGGCAGACAGAGACGCTAGCGGCCTCACCTCGTCCGAGAGACCCTGGATTTTCCGAATCTGCCGGCCGCCATCGGAGGCGGGCGTGCCGCTGACGTAGTGGAACTCCACGTCCGGCCAGTCCTCCGTCTGGTTCACGTACTTGGTCTTCACGAAGCCGAGGCCCTCCACGCCGCCCAGCACCGTTAGAGGACCTGCCGCCGCCGCGGCCGACAGGTGAACGGCGGGTAATGTGAGGGTGCGGCGTTGATGACAGGGAAATGGATGGCAACTTGAGGCTTGCAATATGGAAAGAGAAATGCATTTGAAATCAGGGCAAGCTAGTAAGTCTGATGTTTGCTGCTTCGCGAGGCTTGTCTTACCTGAGCCGAACATTGCATATTTGAGGATGCTCGGAATGTTTTCGTAGCGACTTTGAACAAGAGATATGGGCTTGTTTAGCACGAAAACTATTCCTCCTGTTCCTATGTGGTCTTGTAGATTGTATCCGACTGGGAGATCTTGAATCACTGGTATCTGCAAACATGTGTCGCGATGTCAAGAATGAGCACTTTTCTATGAATATCTGATTTTGCGTTGCCGATCGAAAGTGAAAACAGCCCTGCCGTCCCAGCTCTTTCATTTGCATTGATCATTGGCAACGATGCTACAAGTTAAATATTTTAGACGCAGCTTCATTTTTTAAAGAGTCGCAAGTATTTAAGCATTCAAATAGCCTCCCAACATGCACAGGTGGTCATGTGGCAATACACATAGGTCAAGGTACAAGCCCTTTAACGCTGGTGTTTAATATTTATATTACACGCTGTTTATGAATAAAGCGTCACAAAGGTGAAATAACGAATAAGTGTATGACGATGAAGCAAACATGCCTCTGAAACAAAAAGTTACGGCTATTTTGATAGCCCTGACGACAAACCATAGCCTTATTCCTGCGCATCCGATTTTTGACCGTTGAAATTTGGTATCCAATTAGGTCCCAGTGTACCACTTGTGCAAAGGGCGGTGACTTAGCTTCCAGCTAAATGAACGCACTAAATTTTGTAACCATGAAAATAAATCCGCTGGATCCATGTTTTGCATATTAGCTTCAGATGGCTTGGACGACGAAGCTACTCCTCTGTAAGTGCTCCTGGCCTCTGACGAAGTGGCTCACTCGCCTGGGCGTTAGTACCGGTGGAGTCTGCACAAGGATGGACCGTTACGGGGCCCGCCCGACCGCCTCTGCACCGTGCAGCGCCTGTCACGTTTGCCGTACCGGAGTGCATCATCACTCACCCATGCCCCAGAACGCATATCTCTCACCTCGCTCTCGGCGGGGTGTTAAGCCACTCTCGTCGTGCCGATAACGGCCGCCCCGCTCCAGCCCCCAGAGCTGCACCGCTCTGACCCCTGGCCGTCGTGGTCGGCCCGCTCACCCCGTGTTCGTAGAGGTGCGAGGCGGGTCCGACGCCCGAGAGCATGAGCAGCTGGGCCGAGTTGAGTGAGCCTGCCGACAGGATCACCTCCTTGCGCGCGTACAGGATGTAGCGCTTCTTGTGGCGCACCATCTCCACGCCGTAGGCCCGTTTCGTGTCCGGGTCGATCAGGACCTGGCGGCACGCGGCAGCTGCAGGAAGGAGGGAAAGCGGGCGCGCCAGCACGGCTTGGCGCGACGCGCTGGCATTGCGATGGCGCGTGGGGGGGGGGGGTTGCGAGCTTCCGGAAGCAGGTTGCGCGGCTGGACTTTGGAGGCGTTCCGTGGGTTTCCCGCGGAGTGTCGTCTCGTAGCGCTCAGTCGCACGACATGATACAGGAATGTCTGTGGTGTGGAACAGAGGCGTGAGACAAGCAGAACGTGGGACAGAGGCGTGCTCATCAGCGAGGTAACGAGCACCGCTGGATCCGCTTCAGACGCTGCCATGGCTTGCATGGAAGTAGGCTGCGGATGATGTTGCAGCGCGCATTTCTCACCAGGCAGTGCCGTGCCAGGAGCGGAGCACGTTAGCTTCCATATTTGTTGCAGGGTGGGGACGGGGGGAAAGACGCGCTGAAACTGGGAACCATCGCATGCGTGTGGTTTTAGGACCTCGTCAACTTCTCGGCCATTTGCGCCGCATTCTTCCACGGCCGGTGTTGCGAGTCATCGAGGTTATGGGGCGGACGAGTGGATGTCCCTAGCCCTAACGTTCACTGGGCAGACAGGCGTGCCTGCATGATTTACAGTTCACAGATGCATTACGTTATGATAGAATTGAGGCTGTCACTTTCGGTATGCATTGAGTGCGTGGTCGACAAATGGAGGAAAGTCGTTCAGCAAAAAAAAAATGACACCAGTAGCCTGGTGATGAGCTGCCGAGCATTCAGAACATTCCGGGCACGCACAATGCTCAGTAGTAAAGCACGGGTGAAGGTGACCCCAATTCTCAGCGACTCTTTCCACGTGCCTCCGTCAATGGAATCTCACCTTTGTCACGTGACAATGCATTGCCGTGTGGAGGTTTTTCCGGAGTCGCACCGGTCGGATAAATGCCTTAGACGTGCTACATCTGGAGCCTCTTCGTATTGTGCCTTGCGGGATCATGAAGCCTGCGGAGGAAACGCCGTTAATGAACGCATCGTGACGGCGTCTTGATATTTGTGTCTTGAAACACCCGGCGTATTTGGTTAAGGTTGCGTGGTACAGGAGAGTCTTGACTGCTCCAATGACTTTTCAAGGGCTGTGGGTAACCACTTTCTTCTCCCCCCACAGTCCTCTGTGCCCCTTTCCATGCCCATTTTATCCTCCATTCGATGTGCTGACAGACCGAAGTGTACAAGGCACGTGGTTCGCAGATGCCACTGTGTCGGAAACATTTGAAGATCATGGCACCGAATCGAACCGATCTGACAGAAACTATTGTCCACACAGTCCCATTCAACGCCACCACAACTATTCCCCCGAGGCGCATGTCAGGGACTCTGCCCTGCTCATTATCCTCCCAGAGCTCATTAACACGACCATTATTCCTCTCCCGCGACCGCCGACACGACTCAAAGTGCCAGCGGAACGCGGACACTGGCCAAGACCAAGTGAAGAAGGCGTCGCTGGCAGCTGACCAGTCGGTCACTCCCACGGCGGGGCCAATTAGGGCGATATGACGGGCGTCGGCTGACGCAAGCTCGGCGACTTGCGTCAGCCAGGGGCAGTGTCGCCGGCCGGCGCGTGGAAAGCGGCGCCTAGCGCGCTCAACCGGAACCGGCCCGGACGCCGGGCCGTCCGGTCCACCGGCCGCCGGCGGCGCCGGCCCGCCGGCCCGTTTTGACCTGGTGGGGCCTGGCGGACCGGTCGCGGGGCGGCGCTGGTCTGGTGGGAGCCCTGCTGACCTCATGGGAGACACTACTGGTCAGGCGGGAGCCGCTGCCGACCTCACGGGAAACATTGCTGGTCAGGTGCGGGCTGCTGCTGGTCAGGTGGGGCCCCTGCTGACCTCACGGGGGACACTGCCGGTCAGGCGGGGGCCGCTGCTGACCTCAAAAGGGACATTGCTGATCAGGCGGGGGCCGCTGCCGCCTCACGGGAAACACTGCTCGTCAGGCGCGGCTGCTGCTGACCTCACGGGCGCCTAGCTGACGTGAAGGCGATCACTTCCGACCTGCCATTCCTTTCAGCGATCTTCGACTGCAGAGGACCACTCTTAAGCTACGGAGGACGACTCCTGCCCTACTCAGATCTAGTCGGCCCGAGGACCGGTTGGTCAAGTCGATGGAACGACTACCCTAGTGGTACGTCCGGATATGCGCGGTAAATTGCATTTCGGTCCAAAAGTGTCGTCAGACACTACCCTACGCAGTTAAGCTGGCCGTAAAACCATTGGACCGTGAACGCATGGAGATGCTGTTAGCCTCCGCGCGGGAGCTATGAATATTAGTGAACACGGCACAGCGTCAGACCGATGTTGGTACGACATTGTCTCCCGCGATGTTCGCTGCAGCACGGCATAACTCACTTATCGAGTTTCTTCACAAACCGAATCAGAAATGTCGTGTTCGGGCTGCAGCACGACTCCGATGCGCTCCGGTGCACTGCATTCGGGGCGAAATCAGCCCAGCCAACGTCTTCCATTAACTCAGCCAGATGCCGTAGCGGCGTGAGCTCCGCAGACTGAGATCGAGCTGGGTGCCCTCAGCCTGGACTAACGTCGAGCTGCGTCCTCTCAGTCGTCGTTCCAGCGTTGGGCGTGTGGCGGGTCGGAACGCATACGCACTGAACTTGAGCTGACGAGAGAAGCCGACGAAAGCGAAACCACAGGGTCTAAGCCGCTACGGTAGTTCGGACGCACAGAAAGTGAGCACGGTTCGCAGCTCGTTTAAATGTGTGGCGGCACAGCGACCGGCACTCCACGGTCTGAACCAGCGCATTACGAGACCATAAAAATACCGCAGAGGCGTTATAAAGCCATCTTCCACTGGCTTCGGCCGAATGCCGAGGCATGCGTTACCAAGGCGTTCCAACGCGCATTGAACGCCACCGGGCTTTTCAGACTTTTCGAGACGTCGTGTCACTCATCGCGATCCATAGGAGAAACCCTCCGGTAGCTCTGCTATGCCGCCGGATGCTCTGATGGCAGGTTTCCATCCGCCCTGGTAATGCACTTTCAGTGAAAAGTAGAATTGCACGGCGGGAAAGACAACTACCACGTCCAGCCAACTAGCACCGAACCCCAGCTGATACCGCACGTTGGGTAAGGCTCGATTCACGTTGGTTGCTGGACAGCTGGCAGCCAGCTGCTTTTGCCCAGTCTGCAGCTGACGGGGCCTAAACCGGCGCATACCCTGAGTCACGACCCAGGCGGCCGAGGAATGCGCACTCTTTAGCCGGAAGTGACCCCATAAATTCGTCGTGATGCGTGCGGCAAGGTTCTGAACTACTGTACCGGGGAGCTAGTCACGGAACGCTGATTGCGGAGACACAGTTCGGATAAACCTCGGAATTGCATCGGTTTTCTGCTGTTCGGTCTGACAGATCTTGTCTGAAACATAAGTGTAGCTCTGCTCTTTCTGAAAAAAAGAAAGAGCAGGCGAGCGAAAAGAAAGAGCAGACGAGCGGCACAGTGAATTGTATAGACTTCACACAGCGACACAGTGAACTGTATTGATTCTACCACCTGACATCCCAAGTCAGCCAAGTCCATGTGTTGGTATCATGCTGGCTATTTGGAAACGTCCCGTCTGCAAAGCAGCACGTTTCACATTTGCTTCAGCTTTAAGTGCCTACTCGACCTACGTGATGTGCTCAGCGAACCCGAAAATTCGCACATCAGCTAGGTATCTCTTCTTTCGCGTCAAAGAGACACCGCTCGTCGTCGTTAACTTTGGTTGTTAACGTACGGCTTTGGTTGTTAACGAGTAACAAGCGCCTCTAAAAGGCCGTGAAGCGGCTGCGAGAAAGCACGCGTTGCAGCAGACCACTCATGGCCGAACAATACCGAGTGCCGCACATCCGGCCGTGCTGAAAGGCGGGCTCCGCAGCCGCGGCGGTGGCGCATCGATAGTGAAACGCGCGATAATGGAGGCGCGCGCTTTTTGTGGCGCCCCGCCGCCGCGCGCACACGCATCGTCCGCTCAAGGAAAGTGAAACGGCGGCCCAGTGCTCCAGACGGCACCAGCTGGCGCGGGGAGAAACTGGCCGCTGTCTGCGGCGCCAGGCGCCGCCGGACGCGCGTGCCGCCCGCGCACCCCGACCGCAGCGTTCCCGGCCGGCGCCGGGCGGCCCGCGGCCCCCGCCAGCAAAAACAGGCAAAACAGCCGAGATGTTTTTGGTGGTCCGTTCCGGTGCGGCGGCTGGCGAATTGCCGCCCCATGGAGCCGACCTATTTCGGGATGGTGTCTGGTGTTTGCGGCGAATTGAGACCGGCACAGTGGGTCGACGCGGACGGGGTCTAAGTGGGGGAATGCTCCCACGGCGCGCTACCGGGTATCACTCCCACGGTGTGCGATCGAGCGTTGCTCCCACGGGGTGTGGGAGGGGCGCTCCCATGGCGAACTTGGGCATGGCGGGGGGGGGGGGGGGTTAGGGGAGGGGGACACTCCGAGCAGCGAGCGACAGCCCGCGGACATGAACAGCAGAAAAACGGCACTTTTGAAAGGACGCAAAGCCCGTCGCCCGGAACTGCAATGTCACGAAGTTGCGAGCCATAGAAAGCATGGGAACGGACGGCCGCCAGCGGTCGCTACGAGCGGTGTGCCGTGAACAGTGCGATCGGCGTGACCTCTTTCGGGGTCTTCTGAGTTGTTGCCGCACCTCCAGCGCCGCCCCGAGGCTGCGGAGGCAGCACCGCGTCTCGTGAGGGCGGCGAACGGAGCACCCACCGGTCTGCTGCTGGGCGTTGAAGTCCACGTTCTCGTATCCCATCTCGATGCCGGCCGAGACGAAGGCGGTGGCGAGCGGCGTTCGCCAGGGTGCTTCCTGCACGGTCAGGTAGCCGCCCGTGGAGTGGAAGCGCTCTGCGCGTAGTGGGACGGCAGAGTGAGGCGCAGGGGAGGCATACGGCATCGGACGCCAGGGAGTACACCCAGCAATGAACAGAGACTTAGGCACTCTTTAAACAGGGAAGCCGGACTTCGCTGATGGACAGGAGACACATCGACTCTTTGAAAACTTTATGGGAACAAACGCGGTTTCAACTGCCAAGCAAGCCATTCATGAGCGGGTGCTTGATCTGTGTTGGCAAACGCCATCGCCTCGTCTAAGACTGGGAGGTTAGAAATGAGCTCTGATTTAAAAAAGGGCAAACACATACTGATCCATTCAGACACCAGCAACGAGTGGCTGGACCAAGTAAAGGAAAGCTACGCTGCCTAAAGGCACGGGAGAAGTTGTAGCTGAGAAGCAGGCTGACAAATTCGCTGCAAAACCGCAGGGGGAAACGCGGCCAGATAGTCGCTCTCATGGTGGTAGCACGCTGAGCCTAGGAGACACACGTGTTTTCCCCACAAGAGCAGCAAACAATATTTAAGGCTGCGTTCAGAACGCATCAAGCTGGAACGCCGTGGGACGATGCGCGTCGCACACGATTGGGCGCTTCCTAGCGGTTTGTGCGTCGCGAAATAGCCCGATTAGAAGATAAATTATTGGGGCAGTTTCCTGTTATTGTCCGCGGTTATTGACTCTCACTCTCCGATTCCCACTGGCATCATTCATCTTTGTTGACAATGGCAAGGCTTGTTCCAGTGAAACTGAGCACTCATGCAATACTCTCTCGCTTTAATTCCTCTTCCGTGTCTGCTGTTTGTCACTTAGAACCCTAAGGCGCCTGCGGCGGTACGGACCGGTGTATGACGTATTGTACCCGTAGAAAGTCATTTAGGGCTTACTATTTCTGGCGAGGTATGGGTTCCTATTGTCCTCCGACTTCTTGAAGTAGTGCAGGACGGTCTCGAAGTCCCAGCCGTAGTTGCCGTTGTTGTACCACTGTTCGTAGTCCTTGCGGTTCCCCCTCACGTACAGCATGTAGTTCAGCACTGACGAGCCTCCCATCACCTTGCCGCGTGGCCAGTTGCAGCGCTGGAACGGGACGTCCAAGTTACGAAGCCGTTCTTACTGTAACACTCGGCAGCGTCATGCTTTATGGACAGATATGCAGCGATGCCTTGAGTCTTACCGCTTGTCCAAATTCACCGCATGTCGCCCAACGTTGTCCTCGGGTTCCGACGCATGACAGTGGACGTAAGACGCAGGCTCATAGCAGAGCCACTAGTTAGTTGCAATTAGGTAATCTCATGGCGCTCATAAATCCATAAATCAGAAGGGGTTCAATGTATCTCAGGCTACACACCTCGTCCAAATATTGCACTCAAAGCTGTTGACTGTGAACCAGGCATGCGTCTCGTAAAATACCTTGGCTGACCGACACTCGCTGCGGTATGCGCAATCATGACCATACCTGAGACGTGACTACACGGGCTGGAGTGACGTGTGCACTCGAAAGTGTTGCCAATGGCCATTGTTGGTACCTGGCGGTCGCTCTACCGCCCAGAATCACGTGGGAAGCTAGAAAAGTACCGTGTAATGTCCCGTCCAGACCATGAATAGGTAGTTCGGGCTCGTACGGGGCGTTCACACTTACTGTCTTCACAACCCCATAATGACTCGAGCCGCAAGACATGCCATAATTATTCGCAGGGCTCGTGGCCGTTTTAGTTTGACACCAATCACAGTGCGCCAGAGGTCTGCGCGAGCTCAGTCACAATATCTATTATCCACGCACTGAATACTGCATGTGATCACGATCCGTTTCCTGCTAAGCATAGCTACAGCGCCGGTGAACGCTCGAACACGGGCTCGTGATAGTGTCGAATCGCTGAGATAGCTGTGAGCTGCATTCTCCGCTGCACACTGACGCAAGGCTCGTGATACACCCGGCGCTGCAACGCCTCGAGCCTGGTGCAGCTCCTGTGAGCCTCGGTCACTGCGTGCGGCCGGGCCAGCTCGCGCCTGACGTCCCCACCCCGGCCGGCACCGAGGTCACCCTGGGTCACTGCGGCGCGGCACGCGAGCGGCGCCGAGCGGGGTGGGAGCCACCAGCTGGAGACGCCACTGGGCACAGCCAGCCACCGGCACGGACCGGGGAATGGGCAGATCGTCATCAGCAGTCAGCAGCAGTGCCAGGATAATTAGTAGACACTTATCAGCAGTGATCGAGAATGACCAGCGGTGACCAGCCGCAACCAGAATGTGAGGAGATGCTAACCACTAGTGATCAGGCGTTGAGGAAACCCTGACCAGCAGTGATCAAGAGTGACTAGCAGCGGTCGGTAATGTCCAGCAGTGACACAGAACGAGGTCAGGTCACAGACTCCGCAGCCTCGGCTATGGGCATACAGATCACAGGAGCTGACCGGAGGCTGCGAGTGACCCGGGCAGGTCTGGGTACCATTCGGGCCCCAAGAGGCGCCGCAAGTTCCGGGTGGCAGCGGCGCCATGGCTCGGGGACCCGGAGCGTCGCGGTACAAAGTGGCTCAGTCGTGGTGATCAGAGGGACGGCTGCGCGGTTTAGAGACCCCGCTTGGCAGTTGTCCCAGGCCTGGCACGGCTTACCGCTGCCAGGCCTGGGAGACACGGGCCTATATCGGAGCTCTCGCCCGTGCACATTATAACTGCCCTCGTGACCCGCTTGCCCATGACACCCACGTCGCTCATGTCGGAATGTGCCCACCATCAGATATGCTGATCAGCGAGCCTGCAGCGAACAGGCTCAGACGCCTGGCGTGTTGAAGATGGCTGGCGTGAAAGGAGTGTAGTATGCATCTAGGACTCACGGGTTCGGCGGGGACGCGCTGGTGTCCATTTTGATCAGCCAATAAATATCGTCACGCCCGGTTCGCAGTCGGCATCGCCAAATGAGCTTTCACGGGCAGTGTCGGAGCCGGTTTTGTCTCCTGGCGCGCGCGGCCGCCCTACTTCCAGGTGGCTCGGAGTGCGGCGCCATGAATATGGCGCGCAACGGCTCGTGCAATGCGGAGGGCTCAGCCTTACACGCGCCATTGGTTACATGCAGCATTTAAAACGAACCTTATATCGGGAGTCGGTCCCGCACAGCCTACTTCGGTGTTCGTATCGATCGTGGACCCATCTCTACCAATTCTTGTCAACGAGCTTTTTGACACCGGTATGGCGAATGGCGAGCCATTTACACGAATTTGGGAATTATTTGGAAATGATCGGGTCAAGATGCGCTCGGCGTCTATATACATATATCCCATGCTACATACTACATACAGACTACATATATCACGTATCATATATCATATATCACGTACATACAGTATCCAATGTCACATCGAACATCAGGATTGTCGTACAGCATGCAGCTGGAGATGTAATGGTTTAGCCGGGCTCATAGGGGATATGGAAGACCACACCGTGTTCACTGCTGATACCAGCTGCCACAGAACAGCCGCCTGTCGCAAAAATTCGGCACACTGCGGCGGGCCAGAGTGTGAGCTAAAGTCCTAGCCGGCATCCCACGCCTTCTAAAGAGGCGTTACACTCGGCTGGCGCGGCTCAAGTCGCCACAGACACCTGAACTAGGGCAGCGCGAAGTCTGGAGTCTATAACAGAACCGAGCACTAGCTGGAGCTTGTCTCAAAACCATCAAAAGTTGGCCGGTCTAGACATAAGTATTAAAGCAAGGGCGTTGAAATGGGAGCCATGGTCTGTGTCGCATGCCTGGCTACGCCGTGTTTCCGACCAGATGTCGACTGCAGCCACATCCCGGCCTCAGCTTGACGATGGGTACCAGCTGTCGTCGGTTTTTAATCAGCAAATAACGGACAAATACAGCTTCTCGATTAAGCGAATGAACATCTGCGTTCATGTTGGCAGAGTATGTGGACCAAGCCAACCAATTCAATCGAAAGATGTGACAAGCGCGATACCCACATGACACATGAACTGAATGGTCTGGTGGTGATGATTTTCTTTGATGAGAAGACGAGCAAAAGGCTAACCCGGTTTCAAATGGTTGATGTCAGCTGTTTTACGAAAGACGCTTGGTCACGTTTCGGTAATCGCATAGTCTGTCAAATAAATTTGGGCAACGATCTTAAGCTAGTAACGAAGTGCACGCTCATATGACTGTGCTGGTCAGTGACGTTCTGCGACATGTGTTCCGCTACAGCTGCCCGTTGCCCAGTCTCAAATCTTCCAGTCTTTAACTTGTGCTTTTCCCCGTTGAGCAATCAAAATGCACTCACCGGCCGCGTCCATAAAGAGCTACAAAATGCCGGCGCATTTGTTAAAAGCCTTTGGACTTCCAGGGCATGATGAGCACCTTGTCACACGTCCCGTCACCACTCTTAACTAATACACAGCTTACCAGCTTCATCCAGCAGGTGGCCTCAGGCTGGCTTCGATTAGAGCACTTTCGGCCAGTAATGACCATTTCTGGGGTATGGAATGAAGGGGAGTGGATAACGCTGGGGTGAAACTACGTCCATAGGAAAATCCATCCGCCGAGTCTGAGCTCGCACAGGGACCTCTGTACCGTGTATGTGCTCGGCGCTCGGACGGGGATGCATCAGGGGACCACTAAAGGCTCACGCATGGCCGGTGCATGCAGCTTGCCCTGGATAAACGGGGCGTCGAGAGAACGCAGGGTACAGCGAAAATGAGAAGATAGGGGTAGATGAGCGCACGGCTCCTCACAGCCACCCAACGAACGGATTCCCACTCCCGCCCAACACACGGCTCCCCACTCCCACCCCACACACGGCTCCCCACTCCCACTCCATGGCACCAAACTCACGTGTCCGATGTAGGCGAGGCAGGCGCTGGGCTGCGGCTCCGTCTTGTACTGCCAGTCCAGCTTGCTGAGCTGCAGGTAGCCAGCGAGCGCGGGCACGTCCGATACTTCGGTCTCGTCGCCGCCCGCCTCCAGCAGCAGCACCTTGTGCGCCGGGTTCTCCGTCAGCCGGTTCGCCACCACGGCTCCCGCAGAGCCGGCCCCCACTGCAACCAGAGTAGAGCAGAGGTCGGCCGCGGTCGGGGTCGGGCGATGATCACCGTGTACACGGGGCGAACAGAGCAGAGGTCAGCCCCGGCCGGGGGTGAGCGGCGGTCACCGTGTGTACGGGGCGAACAGAGCGCGGGACGGGATCACGCGGGTTGCGTCGGGCGCGGGATGAAGGGGAGTAATGGTCGAGCGGGGAGCGCCGACGGTTCCCTCGTGGTTGGGACTTCCGGAGTGTACTGTGAGGCCCTGTCACAGCTACCCTCACTGTCTACCAACCAAACTGTGAAATATGAAATTTCATTTTGACAATAATCGAGCTTCAACCTACCATGAGATGCTAGCTAAACGATGGTGTCAAGGAAGCATTGGCTGAATTTAAGCTTCAAGCCATGTCCATGATCACGAAAGAATATATTATGTAAAACATGTCTTTAAAAGCTGAGAGTCGTCAACCCAGGACACCCCATTTTGCCATTTTTCTTTCGCCCTTTTATCGCAACTTTCCACTCTCACACAAAACACCGTTCGCCACTCGCATACTGCCACAATTTACTTCTCCGATTCAACACACAGCTCTCCACCCTCGCCCAAAGCACATCCTGCCACACTCAACAGATTCATCTAAAATCCAGATCCATATCCGTTCAAGTTCGAACCCCGGTTGCGCCATGGCTTCGAGCGGTAATAGTTTCAACGCTGTCGCTGGCGCTCCATTAAAGGGTGCGTGACGGCGCGCGCCGCGTTGTGCACGCGATTCCACTGAGCACGGGAAGAATCTGCTGGATCTCCCGTGTCCACATGGTCCCGCTGGGTATGGAACGTGTTTTGCATCCCAAGCGTATGCTATGCCCACATGGGCACCACCGGCCATGAAGCGTGCCAATCGTATCCATTCAAGGTACGTCGTACACAGACTGTGTTTTCTGTGCTCCGTGTCCACGGCGCAAAGAGCATGCGACACACCCGGGCTGTTCAGACCCGCCGAACACCAAGCCACATAGACCGCCAACAATCAGAAACGTTCCAGAGAAGACCACAAATTGTGACGGCAGTGACACTAGACAGCATTTTAAGCATTCCGCGGGTCTCTCAGCGGACGTCAGCTTCGCGTGACGCTCGCGTGACGCTCGCGTCCGTGCCCGATCGTTCCTCATAGCCGGTGAGCTCCGGCGGTCGCCTGGCGGGGCGGCAAGCGAGCGTTCCGCCTGGAAGGCACGCAGGCGTTCGGACAGTCGTCAAGAGGCGGGCAGTTGGCCCGTCCAATGGCCATTCGGTTGCCGGGCTGATCTAGTACAATCTCACGGCCTCATTGCTGCACCCACGGTGGCTGGTTATGAGGCAGTCGAGCTGCACCAGTACCGACCCTCACGTCATGGTTGGGACGACCCCACATCCCAGGCGTCGGGACCTCAGCCTGGGCACCCGATTCTCAGTCTCGGACGTTGAACCCTCAGCCCAGCAGCCGCGCCCCCAGCTCCAGGCGCCGGGTCGTCAGTCGGCGCAGAAGGCTGAGCAGCCCCGGTCCCGGCCCTGTCCTCCGGGTGACCGACCCTCCGCGGCTGGCCGTGGGAGGCTGAGTCACGCTGAGCCCGACCTGTCGGGCGGCGGGGCGGGCAGGGGAGAGCTGGGCCGCCGCAGCGCCGCCGCGCGGCGCCGGTAGCGGATCTTCGGCCGGTAGTGAGAGCGGCAGGCCGGATACGGACGCGGCCCAGACCCGCCCCACATCTCCGTCCGGCGGCGGCGCGGCACCTGTCCAGGTCAGGGGCGCATCCGTCTCTCGTCCCGGGCCGTCGGCAGGTCGGCCGCCCCTGGCTGCCGCTAGCCGCCGCTGGCCGCCGCGCCCCGTCCGAGGGCATGACCCACCACCGACGGACGTCGCCAGTCAGACGTGACCTGCGCCCAGCGCAGGCTGCGGCGGTCGGGCCGGCCGTGACCTTAGGTTTGTGACTGGAAATTGGTGCCTGCTGGTGGCTGGAGGTCACCAGCCATTGCGAATGGGAGTGCCGCCCAGATGGTTGTGACCAGCGCTCACCAGATTTGGCAACCAGTGGCATGGCTCCGGCACGTGTATGGCCGAGCGACCCTGGCAAAGAAGATTCTCTTTCAGTATCGGTTGATCCCGTTCTCAGGAGATTTGTGGGTGCTCGATTCGACTGCTACCTGGGTAGAATACAGTGATGGACTAAAAGCGTCGTTTACGCGTTCGCTGAGCTTAATTGTTGGAATCAGTAATGGTTGCATCTCATATATGTAGTACTTCGGTAGGTACAGCAGTTTCGTAGCACAACAATTTGCTTGATGGCCTCATTAGAAGTGAAGAGACGACAGATATCTATCCCGGAAACCGAGAGAAAGTCATCAAGGAACAGAAGACTAGCCTGGGAGGACAGCCGGCCTCGAATCCACGCCGCTGTCCACATGCGCGAACGGACCAATTAGACATCAGGCGGAAAGCGATAACAGACCAATCACATGTCAGATAAGAATGAGAAGTCCCAGCCCAGGACAACCCAGGACAGAACAGAAGCAAAGCCAGATTCTTGGTAGGGGGGCGCAGTGTTTGATGGAGGGCGCCCGGTAACCCCCCCCCCCCCCCCCTACGATCAATTACCGGATTTCTCTCATTTTATTTCCAGATGGCTCCAGTCGTCCTCGTTTCTTTACCCAGTTATGCCGATGAGGGGCACAGTGAGGGGCACATTGATTGGACGCTGAGGAGGCCCCTATCTTTTCCGACTACGGGTCCTGTGTGTAGAACAGTAGTGGCCCATTGTCTTTCCCACTCAGGGGTTGAAGGGTTTTTTTCAAAACCGTGGTATCTACTATTTCTATAGCCAACACCCATTCTGACGACACGGGGCAAGAAGTCCCTGATCGATCCAAAGACCCTCAGAGGAATACACAAAATATCCATGCTCTCGCTGACTAAGGGGATGCTCTGGCCGCAGCAGTTGGTCCCGGATCGACATAGGGCCCTTTCTGACACGTCTAACGCATGAGGTGCTGTGACATTCAAGGTCCCACCCCTGTCACCGCTGAACAGGTCCCCCGCCGCACGAGGCCGACTGTTCGGCGTGGTAGTCTGAACGGCATGGGACCCTTATTATCCCGAGGGGCACGTAAGGGGCTCTGACATTCGGACACTCAGGGGGGCCTTGGCCCTGTGCGCCGGCGTCCCGTTATACAACCTCCAGCCATCCCTTGACGCCGTTGATCGTCGGTCCCAAGCGGCAGGAGGAGGGTCATACCCTGATGCCCTTTCCCCGCCCTGTCCCAACAAATATATCGGTGTAGCGCTGTGAAACCTCAAATAGCTGAAGATAACCACTGATACAAGCGTGATAATCCGCAGACATTTTCCGGTTTACCGCTTCAAACTTTTACAAAAAGGAAGTCATTTCGCCAGGCTTGGCGCATTACTCATGCATGCCCAAAGTACGCCAAGGCACAAGCGGAAACGGAAGCCACTCGCACCGACATCTCGCCCCGTGAAATGCCACCGACCCACAGGCGCGCGTTTGCCTCCAAGTCACGCCAGCAACTCGCGGACGGCCGACGGCGACCGCTCCTGGGACTGGCTAGGCGAGGCCGGATTAAGCCAGGAGAAACCCGCCGCCGCCGCGCGTCGCAGGCGCCGGCCAATGTCGCATCTGTATGCATACCGCCGGTCGGCCGGGCTTTCTACCCGACGAGCGCCCCCACTGCAACCACGATATGCGCCCGACGAAGACAGACGGGCAAAAAATATGCCATCTGCACCCACAAAAACACGAAGCGCGACAACCCATCTCGTCCTGCCAGGGGTCGGTAACCATTTCGCGTCCGGGTGGGTCCGCTTTGCGCCAGCTGAATGCAACAATACGCGTCGGCGCAGAGTGGGGTTGCAAATGGATGTCAGCGGGTCCCATGACAGCCTTGTCCATCACAGCTCAACGGCTTCACTGGAATGTATGAACCATTCAGGAAATTGCACCTGACTGGGAAGGGCTCACATGCATGTCACCGTGTCGTGACCTCGGCTCGACGACCCAGCGACGTCTTCGCCAACCCAAAAGGGAGCGCACCGGCACCCACCGCACCAAAGCACGGCCAGCAACACCAATCATCGTCAACACCAACCAGCGCTCCACGGTCGATGGCGCCGATCGCGCCGTTCATCAGCGAGCACAGGTCCGCCTGCACGGCTCGCTATAGATTCCAAGACAGCGACGGCTGATTCGTGACGTGGCCCCGTTTGTTCGCCAACGGTCCGGAGCCGGGCCGCACGGTTGCCAGGCCGCCTCGGCCGGCTCCGCGGCCCGCCAGCTGGCCGTGCTGCGCGCCGCCCCAGCACGGCGGCGGCGCCACAAAACGGCCGAGCAAAAACTGCCACTCCGGCGGAGACGCATTTGCTGTTGTGACAGGGACGGCGCTATCTTTATCCGGCGGCTTACTAAGTGGCCGTCTTCCCCAGGTCGCCGGGGCGGCGGGCACGCGACGACGCCGGCAGCGTTGCGAAAGCGCACGGTTGCCGCCGCCACTGCAGGCCGGATCCGTGCCGTAAGGACGCTGGGTGACGGCGGAGGACGCGGGCGGAGGGCGGGGCTCCTGAGGGAGCGGGAGGAGATGGCTGGGCACCGTCTGAGGGGCGGAGGAGGTCGCTCGGAGCGGATCTGATCGTCTGGAGAGTGGCAGCCCGTCTCGCGGCCGTCCCAGACCGCACACAGCTTCTGGACACTGCAGGTTCAGGCACGGCTGGCGCCAGAGAGTGTTCTCCTGGTGGCGATGTCTGTTACAGATCGCGATACCAGTGACCATATCACGGCATTTGCAAATTACATGTGCCGATGAAAAGGTTCCCATCCACGCCTGTATGGGCGGCGGTGCACTCGCGACACACCACGCGTGAGTTTGCCGTGTGCACACAGTCATATCTGCGTAGTGTGTGTGCTACAAAGCTGTCTTGGCTTTATGTTTGTCCGTCAAAACTGGCGGCCAATGTCGATTGCTCCCTTTC